CGGTTCAGTGACGGGCAAATCCCCGGCCACAAAGCGCGGGTTTCACTCTTATCAAACGAAGTGGGCGCTACTCAGTGACGACCGGGTGTGTTCGCTTCGTGAAGAAAGGATGTGTGAGGGAAGTGTGTGTGTGTGTGTGTGTGTGTGTGTGTGTGTGTGTGTGTGTATAGGTGTACACATGTGTGTGCGTATGCATATATTATATGTGTGTGCATGTTTGTGTGTGTGTTTGTGTGTGTGAGTGTGTGTCTGTGCATGTGTGTGCGTGTGTGTGTGTGTGTACGTGGTGAATCAGCAAACCATTGTGCCAGGATCTGGACAGTAAAGATGTATCTTATCTTATCTTATCTTAACATCTATCGTCCTCCTTATCTCTCCTCCTCTTCCTTCTTTTTTGTGTTTGTTACTCGCTGAATGTAACACCTCTAATTTTCGGCACTAACATGATCTCATAGTGTTGCAAGTGCCGTAAAACTCTTACTAAAACTAAGAAGAAAAAAGTCCCACGAAGCGCTCCCCAAACGAACTCCGCTATCACTTCGTCACCCCCACAGCCTACAGAGAGCTTAAAGTGACACCTGGTGGAACGTTAGCGAGCAGTTCTGGTGACAAAAGCCGCGGCCTGGGGTGTCAGTTGTGGACGTCTCTGGCCAGACTGACTCCACTGATATGCCTTTTGACATGGCGGATTGGCCTGTTTGTCGGAGGATTAAGCAGGCGAGAGTTGGCTGTGAATATAGCACTAGTTCTGTACATATAAAAGGTCTACGTGAATGCAGCAGTACTGCTACGTAAATGGTGTACGTGAATGTGGCAATGGTGCTACATAAAAGGTGTATGTGAATATAGCAGTATTGCTACAAGAAAGGTGTTAAAGGAATACTTAATTTGAATACCCCGGTGTCTTTGATGCGGCAGTAGCTACTGTTGGCTTGAATGAGCCAAGATATGATGATTACTTCTATAACAGTTGACACATTTTATTGGGGGGGGGGTATCTTTTTGCCTTACGTTAGTGAGAGTGATTTACGGAAGCTCTTTCTCACGGGCTATTTTTATGTGCACCGACGTGCTCTTATAAAACCCGCGCTAACTACCGAATAGATCTTAATCGCAGGCATTAATCTCAAGTGTAGGAGCTTCAGGCAGGTATAACTCACGCGTCATAAATCTGAGGCATGAAGTTACTGTCTCAATCTCAAGCAAGAATGTACGGCACACAAAGCGGTTTCAATTAGAATTTGCCGAACTTCCTTGGTTTTTTAAAGCAGTGCACACAATTATTCAGAAAATTGTCTTTGCAGGATCGAATCGGTTTTGAAAGTCATCATCATCATCATCATCATCATCATCATCATCATCATCATCATCATCATCATCATCATCATCATCATCATCATCTTCATTTGCCTTTCTTACCCTGTACCAGGGCATAAGCCCCTAACAAGAGCTCTCCATGTACGTCTGGGCTATAGTCTCCACCTTTGTCCAGCTGTATCCTATCTTCTTTTGGCCGTGGCACCGATAGCCTAATGGTTAGGCTACTGGACCTGTAATTGTGAGATAGCGGGTTCGGTGGTTCGAGCGCCAGCTCGACCGGACGTTGTGTCCTTAGAAAAGGCACTTTACAAGGAAGTTCCCATTTGGCCCGGAGATGGGGGTGGGAGAGAGAGAGAGAGAGAGAGAGAGA